GTGTTACACACGGATATTGAAAGTTGTAAAAATGTTGTTCGCGCATTGATACTGACAAGTTCTGCTGCAGGTTGGAGTCTATGCTTTATAATTGATGGTTTGAGTTTTTCAGGTACAAGCTGTCTTTCAAAGCCCATTTTATCTGTCTTTTTTTCATCTAAAAGCTCTTTTCTTATCAGACTATAGTTCTCATTTTTGCATGTACCTTCTTTAACTTCTTGGATGATTTTAGACAGTTCCTTATCAGTAAGCTGAAGTTGTGCAACAACTTTTGAGTCAATGTTTACCAATTTTATGAGAATGTTGATTCAATGTTTCCCAATGTTACTTCATCATCTGTATTTAGTTCTGGTAATTTAACTTCTTCTTCACAGACATCTCTGGATGCTTTATTTTCTTCCTTCATCAGTTCCAAGATCTTTTCTTCAGCTATTTCTCTTTTTCTTTGAGCTGTAGTAGAGACAGCATTAACCTGGCGAGGACAACTATCAGGTTCCTTTCCTTGTTTATTCAACAGTGCAAAAGTTCGATTGCCTAATAAATACCTTCCTTTGTCGAGTTCATTTCTAATAATGGCAGCCTTAGTTATTAGTTTCCCAAAATCGCAATTTAGTTCGATCTCAGCCAATGGTAAACAGGTTGGATTCAAATCTAATGGCTGTTGCACCCACATTTTCACCTGTCAGCATTTCCGGCGTGATGTATTTGCGACAAACTATATCAATACTAGCACCTGAATCCCTTAATATAGGAATTTTATGACCATTTACGTAACCCATACTAGTATAAGGTAATAGAAATTTATCCTCTGGTTTTGCACTAATTCTGTTAAGATTAGCAGGAGATTCAGTACTATTCTTAAGTTTAAATGTTGATAGGACCCACACTGATAGCATTGTGGCGTTCTTTCGTTTTCATATTTATCATCTGGACGTGGACTTCTAGGTCTATGAAACCAGCTTTGCGTATTAAATCCTGATGACAATTTTTTTCAGTTTTATTTTTATTATCTGAACTCAATTTACCTTGAGTTAGTGCATTGTATGTTTCTTTCTGCCGATCCAATACAGGCCTTTTTTGAAAGTTTCTGCAAACTTTTTATAGGCATCAAGTTTTTCAGCTAATCATCTCTACCCACTCATCAAGAAAATGATCTCGAATTTCAGGAGGAACTCAACATTTAAGTTGGTCGAGCACCATCAAATCTAGCAACTGATCAAAAGTCTCAACTCCTAGACCAGTTACCCATTCTTTGCAATAATTTTCTATTACATAGTTGAAATCCACCCATGTGGTTTGATGTTTCATAAATTTCTGCCTAAACTTTTCCGGGCTTAGCTTAAACCATCTTAACAATAAATTCTTCACATGTTCATAGTCTTTAGCTTTATTGGAGGGTTCTCTAACTATTAACTGTGTTACTTTGTAAGGAAGTAGTCCTAGTAAATTAGATACAAATTCTTCTTTATCAATATGTGCTCATTCTGCTTGCCTTTCAAACAATAGCAAATATAGACTGATATCTCCTTTCTTGTCATCGAATTTCTGCATAAGGTGAGGCAGCTCAGTTTTTGGCCGGACCTGTCTGATAGTTTGAGACTTTGTTTCTGCTTCAAGTTTTAATTTCTGTAATTCATACTGTTCTTTTCTTCTCCACTCTTCTGCTTCTTCCTGTCTCCTACATTCTTCTCTTTCCTCCCTCTCTTTCCCTTTCCTCCCTCTCTTTCCCTTTCCTCCCTTTCTTTCCATTCTTCTCTTCCTCCCCTCTCTTTCCATTCTTCTCCTTCTCTTTCTTCCCTCTCTTTCCATTCTTCTATTATTGTGTCTAAGACTCCTTTGACGAATACTTCATCATAATCTCTGCTTTGAACAATTTTCTATTTTAAATCGACTATTTTCAGATCTGCAGTCACGTGAACTCCCAGTTCAGCCATGAGATTTTGCAAATCTTCCTTACGAACTCTTCCTAAGTAAAACATTGTTTCCATGTTTAAAATTATCAAACACTGTGTTTTTTATACTTCCTCAAAATACCTCAAATCAAATATTTTAATTAATTTAGATAACTAAAATGAAAATTAAAAATAATATCCAGTACAGTAATAAAATAAGACAATTCAGTATTAACAGAAAGTAATAATCTGGTGTCACTAATTTTAGAATCGGATATGTCAGTGATGAACTAATAACATAAGACAATTCAATATTAACAAGAAGTAATAATCTGGTATCGCTAATATTGCACTCAATGATGAACTAATAAAATAAAAATACGCAAGATTATTTGATCTTGTCGGTGCCTCCAAAATAGTTATGACTGATACTTCTTTAACAATTTGAAGTAAACTCCAATGATGGAACACAGCAATAACTTTTATTTTATACTAAAGAAATGGTGACATAAAAACAAGAGAAGAAAAAGTGTATAAACTTATTTTAAAAAAATTAAATGCTTCATGCAAGAAAATGCATGCAGCTCTCGAGCCTGTGTTTCATATTGCCAAGTAACCTGTATATTATTTATTATTCAACTATTTCAAATGCATGAGAGATTAATAATGATATTAAAGCTGTTACAGTGGTAAAAATATTGTCCAAGTGTTTAGCAGTCACATGATCCATGATTCGAATCCTGGTGAAGGGCATAGTTGGTTTTTCATGGTTTTCTTTAAAAATTCGTGAATAAGTCTACATAATTAATTTAAATAAATTTATATAAAATACATTTAATGAAATTTAATATGTTGCGTTGTACAACTGTATATGCCTTTGCTATAATAAATATCAAGAAAGATGTTAAAAATTGTTCTTTTCTTAATATTATTAATGATATGGTGAAATAAAATTTATATAATTAAATATACTAATATTTGTTTTCAATGCTGTGCTTTCCCTTCCTTTAAAGAAAACATATTCTTTTAACTGTTAAGAAATTGTTTAGGGCTTTAAAATATTACCTTCATCTGATCTGTTTTACACAGAATGCTGGCTGTGACACTTCCAGCACACAAGCTTAAGATCAGTTTTGTAAAACTCTGCAACTTGTTTAATGAAATTTACTAATTTGAAATATATGTGTATTATCAATAATTATGAAAATAAATCTGTATTATCAATAATTATGAAAATAAATCCCCAAGCAAGTACTCTCAAACATGCTATGTACTGATAAATAAAGTGATAGTTTATTTATCAATGCATGATACTGAGTTTTGTATCAAATAAACAATTATTAATGAAGCAAGTATGAATTCAAAATAAATTCTATGTAAGCCTTACAGATTTTTTATAAACACTTAGAATGAATTTAATGGTAGCAAAAGTTATTAAATATTACTAGAAAACCACTCAGAAATCCGTAAACAAAGAAGTTAGAAATGGTGTAGTTGTATGACCTATCAAAAGAGCAAACTACACCTAGTGTGCCTGTTAATGGAAATATTAGTATTCAGGTACAGCTAGCCTCTTTCCCCTACCAGAAGATTTTAGGAGAAAGAGCCAATTATACCGAGGTGCTGGCCTACTGACAAGCCAGTGGGTATGGATTGAATATTAGACTCTCAGCTATACTAAGAGAAAGAGCTCAGGATTGCCTGAGACAGAGAGAATCAGCATCGTCTGACAACAAAGTCGACCATGATCAAATAAATGTGGCTGAATATCTCTCATTCTTGCTAGTCTTGCATGTTTCTAGGATGTCAATATATTCCATACTTCATACCTGTATTTGTGCATTAAATCTCAGTTTCCGTACTTTTTAATACATTACCCTGTGTATAAAAATATTCCATATTTGCTGCTGCTTTACCACTATTTGAACTCTGTACATTTTACTTTCTTAATATTGGTACCTTCTGGTATATCATTTCTTCAAGACAAAATTATCTTTTGAATCTTAAATGTGTGTATATCAGACATTTGGGCAGGCTAAATACTTTGTACCCTTTTCAAAATAAAAATAGATTTTCATTGTTCATATAGAATTTTTTTGTATAATTATTTAACTTGATAAAAAATTCAGTCGAGTTCTTGGTTGGGATAAATAAAGCCATTTAGAAGGTAGAAGCACCAATTCTTGTGCTTTGGACCAAAATCTGCGAATGCTGCATAGTAGATTGTGTTGTTTTTAGACTTATGTCTTTTTAATCTGAATCTTTGTAGTCACTTTTTTCCCTACTCCTATTTCTAACTAATTAGTAAACATAATAGAAATTTTTTCTTCTTTGCTAAACTTTTGTGAAATAGGAGAGTGTATTTGTAATGATAATGGAAGGATGAAATTGTTATCAATTAATTAAAAAGGATTTAACTGTATATATAAAGGATAAGAATTCTTATTTGCACCAAAGTACTTTATATTTTATATCACTTTAGATAAATATTATTTATTTTTACTTCAGTTTAAATAACATTATTGTTCCTAATCTTTAGTTTCTGGTCCTTTCTTAATGTATGGTACTAATACGCTTAATTCTGCCTCCCACAAAAAAGCTATTATATATTGCTTAATAGTTTTTCTCTTTCAGGGTATGTATACCTCTTTATAAAGTATAAGACAGTGAAGTTCATGCTGTTATTTACCAATTAGTGCAGTCCTGTCTAAAAGATTAGAGCTGTGCAAGAAGTTCTATATGATTAATCTTTAATTAAGATACATTACTGTGGACAATTATTTACCACTTCTCTGAAATTTTTGGTAGCACATAAATAAAGTAAAAGAAATCATTTTTAGTGTTAAAATGTGCATGTAACTTTTACTTCTTTGATTCAGTGCACTTTTATTCTGCTTTGATGCAGTTAGAGGTATATAATTTTTTTACTGTCATTTCTAACCCAGTACGTAATGTATACTTTAAATTTTACTTTGAAATATCCTCTATTTGAAGTCATGCTTGCTTACTGTTTTTTATTAATATTGAATTTTTAAAAAAAATGTCCTTATTGCATAACATATTCATATAATGCATTATTTTCCTGCACAACTTATTATTTTCAGGGAAAATATATGCTGTTGGAGGATGTGATGAGAATGTTCATTTGTCTAGTGCTGAAGTGTTTGATCCATTAACAAACAGGTGGTCAATGTTGGCATCTATGTCAACTCCTAGGTAAAAATAATAACTTGCTTTACAGTACAAAAATCTAAATGTGGGATCATCTGGACTTCGGTGTATCCAGAAATTTCTGAACTTTAGATTATCAGTCTAATTTTAGTAAGATTATATGTAAAAATTATAAAATTTAAAAAATAGCTATTTCTAAAATAATGAATCATTTATGGCTTTAATCAAAATTTCTAAAAGGAAAGCTCAATATTTATTTGTGTTATTATATATTTCTTTCAAGGTAAGTTGCTTCATTTTCTATTTAATACTTTCTCTTTTAATTATATGGATAGACATAATTCATTTTCTGTCATAAAGTCCCGTTGTTCAAGTTCTGTAAAATGCTATGTCGAAAATTCTCACTACTATTCAAAATCTTTCCATTCTTAGCAACTTCTTTGTCACTTTTTTCACTATTGGTAGCAATATTTTCTGGATTTAAAATCATACTACAGATTTTGCTGTACTATGGTTTTAAATCCAAAATTCAAATTTAAATTTTGATTAGATATCAAAATTAAAGCCTGCAAGTAACCTGGATCAAATTAGAAAGTTAAGAAATAGTGCAGTTTGCTATGTTAACTGACTTAAGTTCCTTGGAATCTAATTCTTTCTCCCTTCCCTGGTGCTATGCCAATAAAAGGAAACCTGTATGAGCAACATCTCACTCCATATATATCTTGTGACTTCACTTTCTGTTGAGATCAAATAGAAAATTCTGCCCCCCCACACACACACACAACCACTGAAGAGTTGATAGTGTGTGGCCAAAATCAATCAATAATTTATTTACCATCAACATCAATTAATTATTATATCATTTATTTGGCCAGATTATATAACCAGCAGGTATTTGAAAGTGACATGCAGCAATCTGTTAGTCCAGAGAAAATCACTTTTATGGGACACATGCTTTTTCTCGAGTATTTAAATATTGATAAAATTTTAAAGTGTTTTTTTTTTTTTTTTTTTTTTTTTTTTTTTGCTTGCTTGTTCTGTAGTCCAGGTTTTGGATATTCAGATATCAGACTTTGTACTGTATTTTGTATTTCCTTTCTAAGATTTCAGCATGCACTATATTGTGTTACCAGATATATATTTAAATAATATTTTAAAGTATATTTATTTTTGAAGACTACTGTTTATTTGAATGCGAGAAATTATTTTGAAATTCTACCTGCCCTAAAGTAATAATCTCATTTTCCCAGCCATCACTACAGAAATGTGACTATTACCTTTTAATGAAGTGTATTTCATTTAAGAAACTTGAAATATTGAACAATTTTTTTAACCTAATTAAAAATGTGTATTTTATTTTTTCTGATGTGTGTTATAGTTCAGTTTATAATTAATCAAAATTATCTGAATTCTAGTTCATAACTATTCTATCATTTAATTATTATTTTATTGCTAAAATGTTTAAATGCCATAGGTTTCTGTGTATTACCCAAAATAGTCTTCCCTATCAACTACAATTTACTAGTTAGAAACAATAAGCACAATGTAGGAGTTTTTTTTTTTTTTTTTTAAATTTGGGGGTTTACATCAAATACGAGTTCAAAATTAGTTCCCCCCCCAAAAAAAAGGTCACAAAAAGGATGCAGTAGGTAAAATAATAGAAAAGTATTTTATATTTTTAATCTTAATATACATACACTCTTACAAAAAAATAGAAAAAGGGAGAGCACCCTTTAAGAAATGATCCAATCATCTAAAAATTATCTGTGCCAATTCCTTCATACCATGTATGCAAATGATTCACTTTTCAAGGCAAGTGAGTGTTAACTGCAGTCATAATGCACATTCCTACTATGCAACTAAAATCGTGTAAAACAAGTAACAATTGTGGACAGTTTATCTTTTCTCATTGTTAGCATTGCAGTTTTAGTTACATTGCAGTTTAGACACAGCACATCATATCGTTATAACGTTGCTGAAGACCTTATAGACAGTTGGACAACTTTGAACATGGTCATGCCAGTAGGGATGCATGAAGGTGGCTTGCTGCACCAAATGCACATAGTGCTGACAACAATGGTTGCTGCAAAGTAATTCATTCGTAGAATCAATCCTGCAGAAGGCAAAGGTTTTAGAATGTGAGAAAATATTGGATATTTGTGCAACAGGCCCTCACTGTCCCAATGGCATCATTGTTCACTGTCTAATGTGCTACAGCCTCTTCCATATTGCCCAGATTGGGATGGCACTTATAGTGGCTTTTAAGACGTCTGAATTTAACCCAATAACATTGACAGATTTTTCTGGATTTCGACACTCTGGAGTGGTGGCATAGCCAGTCATCATGGCTGGCAGCCATTTGGCTTCACATAGTGTTCAATGATAAATCCTGCTTCAGTCTTGGAGCAAATAAACCATTGGGTCCATCTGGGGAGGGCCCAGGCAACACCTACAACACCTAGTTACAAGGCCTGAGCACGAGAGCATGACATCACAGCAGAAGATTAGTTGCTCATAGCTCTGTTCCTTATTCATTCCTTGCTTTGCTCATTTATTTACTTAGCTCCTGCTTGTTTCTGTTTGTTTCAGTATCTATTTACAATATGTAATTATTAATAAAATTCAGAAGGAAATTTTAAATTAAAATTTTATGTATTATTTGAGGAAGTCGGGAAGATTTGTTTTTGTTGCAGTGAAAAATATAGGAAATGAAAGTGCAGAATGAAAGTAAATAAGTGTGAATTCTAATTTTTATCTCTTTATTGATTATTATTATTAGGTGATTAAAAACCTGATCTGTGATTTTTCTCATAGATTACAGTTGGAAGAAATTACCTTACATTCTATTCACTAAAGAGAAGAAATTTTTCCGATGAAATAACTTAAAGATATGTGTACACAGTTTCAGATTTCATAAAAATATAAATTTCAGAATGAATTTAACCTAATATTCATATGCATAATTTATTACTCAATGAAAATAAAAGCTTTTTTTTATTATTTTTGCTATTGTTCTCTTCAAACATTTCATTTCAAGGCTGATATTCTTATTTAAAAGGCAGCGAAAATGTGTTCACAAGAAAATAAAACATTGCTGCAATGAAAAATATGTTTATTTAATATATATATATATATATATATATGTAATGGTGTATCAGTTTTTAAGTTCTGAAATTCTTAAAAACTGATACACCATTATGCTTTACAAAAGTAAGAAATAATAATTTGTTATCAAATGTAAGTAATTTTTGTGTCAAAATAAACAGGTAACTAAATATTAGTAAAATTAAATATAAGCAGTTTTTTGCCAGTACTTACAAAAAATTATTTAAATGTTTTTTTTTAAATAATTATTAAAAAGTATTAGAAGTTTAAAAGCTGAAATAAAAATTCACACACAAAAAAAGAAGTTATTGAAGAAATTTGTGAAAAGAAATTAAACTTTATTCAAGATATATATAAGAAGAAATAAAACTTTAAATTCATATCCATCTCGATAATGTTTTTTAATCAATTCATCAGGAGGTTATATTATTGAATAATAGGCTTTCTGGATTTTATTATCCTGGAATATGCTTTTTATGGTAAATACTATTAATTACTATAAAAAAACTGCAGATCCTATAAAGATATGTGCTGTATTTTATGCACTTATGATGCAGATATAATAGCTATAGAGATATTTATAAGTGTTACTGATTATATTAATGATTATATTTTATATACAGGATGGAAACTCTTTGCAACATAGTCACTATAAGAGTTTTTAAAAAAATTAACGAATTTAAAACTACACAAAAAAGTTTTAAAAACTTTGCAAGAAATAAATTGTACAATAGATTAACAAAATTAAAACTATTCAAGGAGCAAGTAAATAAAAAATAACAAAAAAGGCAAAAAAGGCTTTCAGATTTAATATTATATTATGCCCAAATAGGCCTTTTTATTTCATTTGCAGACACATACATGTTTCAAGAGCGTTTGGCCTAATGCCATATTGTGCTAAAAGTATTTAAAAACAGCAAATCTTTAGAATTTCTGATACACAGCCTTACATGCTGGAGTTAAAAATGTTTTATTATATCCAGGCCACCAGCATCAAGCAGTGAGACTGCTGAACTGTGGTTATTTGACTCAGATTCAAATTATGGTGAACATGCTGTGTAGGATTGTTCATGGCTTTTCCCAAGGGTGACATGAATACAAGCCTTTTCCTTAAAAATTCATGTTCGGGGACATTTCTCCCCTCAAGCAAGTAGCACTTGTGCACTTTGCTTAAATCAGTTAATCTAACCTAGCAGTTTAGACATAGATTACACTTCTTTCATTTCCAGTCTGAAGGACAAAATGCTCCTTAATTCTGCCATTTCCTCATTCATTCAAAATCTTTACATCTTGTATTTGCTCATTCTAAAACAATTTTATTTTTCGTGCCAGTAGGAATTTTAGTTGCATGTTAAATTAGAATGTTTGTTCTATATTTTGTTAAATCATCAAATTCTAATAGTGACATTCTCACTTCATCATGAAACAAATGTTATGTTGCATATAGTTAGGGATGAGTGAAAGTTTATCTAATATATTGTGAATTTCTGGAGAAATGGTAACAAAGTGGTAATACTTAAATTATCTGTACTTTAACAGAAACCTCAGCTTTTAACTTAAAATATGGACTTTTGTGATATTTACTGAACTATGTATGGATATGAATAAGGTATTTAAAATGCAAACTCTCTATACTAAATGCAAGTATAATGATAACATTATACTAGGGAAAAGGGGGGTAAAGATCTATGAATTCCATATGAAATGAATAAGTTGGAACTTTTCATATGTTGATGCTTATACTTTCATTTTACAGAAGAGGTCTTGGACTTTGTTCTATGGGTGGTCCTATATATGCTGTTGGTGGCTTGGATGACACAGTCTTCTTCTCTACAGTTGAAAGGTATGATGTCAACTCAGATATGTGGAATGTTGTTGCCCCAATGAATTGTGCTAGGGGTGGAGTTGCAGTTGTAAAACTGAAAGTGAGTTTTCAAAATTATACATGCATTTATTTACATTCTCTCTCATCTGAATTTCTAAAATAAAAATTTTCTGAATGAAAAATAATTGACAGGAAAAAATGCACATGCTGTTCCTTATCAGAATGTCTTTAGGAAAAATTTATTTTCTTTGAGAAACTAAGTTTCTTGATTGATCAGAATATGCATTCTAAAATTTCTTTTTTAGAGTTCTAGCTCGTGGTTGAACAAACTAAAATGAATGTGTTAGAAGCTTTTATGAAGATTTTTCTCTTCCTCTACACTTTCTTCTTTTTATTTTTCAATATTGAAATCTAGCATTACAAGAATTTGGCTCTGGAATTTTTAGAATAATTGTAGATCACTCTAAGCTTTAAAGGTGCCTTCAATGTGCATTATCTCTATTCCTCACAAAAATTATGATATTTTGAGTTTTGACTGAAGATATATTGGTGATTTTATTATATACACTCACTTCCAAAAGTTAAGCACGGAGAGGAAACTGCTAATTTCTGGAAGCCAATCAGAATTGAAGAGGATGCAATTTGCTGCAGAGGTAGATTGAAGTATGCAAATATGTTAGGTAACAGCCAATCGCACTTTTCATGTCAAGAAATGTGCAAAAAAGGCAGTCTTATAAGAAGCCAGCTTTATGAAGGGTTACAGAAGTTGATTGTAAGTGCTGATAGAAGGTGTTTAAAACTTTCGTACAATTTGTTTTCAAGACATACGTGTTTCTGTGACTTCCAGAAGATGAATGGAAGATTCTGTATGCTGGCATTTTGTGGGGCGCATCGAAGCAAGACAGTCTATCACAGATGTGCTCTTTTCTTCAGCGTTCATCATTCTGTAATTTCACATTAATGGAAACAATTCCAAACCACACATACAGTTGTCCGAAGACCTGTAGCCGGTCGCCCAAGGGCTACAACCCCCGCGGAAGATCAACATATTGCTATTGTAGCCAAGCGAAATCGCAAAGCGACCTCCACAAGTGTAATATCTATGGTTACAGCGTCCATTGGTAAGGCAACTACTGTATGCCGAAGATTACATATGAGTGGATTGTACGCCCGGGTACCTCGAGTTTGTGTTCCTCTATCCGTCCAATCAAGATGGGCGCGATTACAGTGGTGCCGGGAACATGTCAATTGGAATGTGTCTGACTGGGGCAATGTCATGTTTACTGATGAGTCAAGATTTGCTCTGGAGCCAGATGACAAGCGTATAAGGATATGGCGTGAACAGCGAACACGCAATCAGTCCCAGAACATCACGCATTCCGAGGCAGAAGCATTATGGTGTGGGCAGGGATTTCATTAGGATATCGCACCGACCTACACATCTTTAAACGGGGTCCTTTGACGGCTGTCCGGTATCGAGATGAAGTTCTAGGGCCCGTTGTGAGATTGTACGGTGCAGCAGTTTGCCCTACTTTTGTTTTAATGGACGATAACGCACATACCCATAGAGCTGACATCGTCAATGACTGCCTGGAGAGTGAAGGGATTGTGCGTATGGCGTGGCCAGCATATTGGCCCGACCTTAATCCCATTGAAAATCTTTAGGATGCTCTCGGCCATGCTGTATCTTCACATTTCCCACCTCCAGCCTTTCTTATTGAGCTGGAAACTGCTCTACAAGAAGAATGGCGATTGTTTAATTCTGCGGTGGTTGACCATCTAATTGAAAGCATGGTCACAAGGTGTAAACTTTGTATACAGATGAGGGGGGATCACATACTCTATTAATGTCCTTTTTTTCATTTTATGCTGTTTAGTCTCCAGTATGCAGTCCCGGATCTAGCGGGGGCAAGCTGGGGTTCTTGCTCCAGGCGGCAAATTCAAATATAACGCTGGATCGTTTTGGTATGTTGTTCGCTAAAACAGCTCTCTAATTTTAGTAAAATGTTGATAATTTTAAGGCCAAGTTTTAAAACCTCTTTTAAGAAGATTTGCAATTAAATACTAAGAACCCTTTCAAAGGAACAGTTAAAATACAGCTTATTACAACTATAAATACAAGATCAGAAAAAGGCCAATAGAGGGACTCCAGGCGTCACTGATAGAATCAGACTGACCCTATCAGTAACATCTGGAGTCCCTGTATCATTTGCTGTCTGGGCCGGGTATATTCAAATAAGAAATAGAACGATAAATTGTGGAAGAAGTCACCTGGTTCCCATAGCAACATCTACTGGGAAATGGAGAAGCTTTGTAACTATTTTTTAAGAGCTAACCCAAAAAATTAACCTTGGGCCATCCTGGACAAGTGAAATAATTCAAATTAATATTCATCAAGTATATGCAGCTTGGCTACATAAGCCATTATGTAGCCAAGCTGAAGCAAGGCATTTAGATTTTTTTGCAGCCAGTAGGCAACTTAGCCTCAACTTTGGTTTCACTCGGAATGGTGGAGCGTATTTTGGATTTTAAAGGTAGATTTATTATTATTATTTTTTTTTTTTTTAAAGTTTTTAGGTCTCTTCTATACTCTTTTTTTTTTTTTTTTTTTTTTTTTTTTTTTTTTTTTTTTTTTAAAGATATGCGTGTTTTTAATAGTTTTAGTAGCCTGCACTATATTTAGTGAGACACGACCATTTATTTAGGACTGTTCAATGTAATTATGCCAATTATTTGCTATTCCTATTAAGGCAATTAATTCATAGTGAATTTCATTTAAATTAAAAGAAACCACCTGCGCATCGAGGAGGAGAAAGGCGGAATACAGAAAACGAGCCAAAGATAAGGCCAAACAGAGAAAACAAATTTCAGCTAAGATGAAAAAATAACTTCACGGAAGAAGTAAACCATCAGACCCTGCCACAATTCCGATTATGCTGAGATTCTAGAGGGAATTAATATTTCTTGCAATTTGCACGACCAAACATGACTGCACCTATCATCCCCAAACAATCTACAAGTCAGCATTTGAAAGAACCTTCTTCATCGACATCAAACGAATAGCTAGAGGACATGAAACCATGATATAAAGATCTCTTCATTTAGATGGGGGCGGCCTGCAGAAAGACGAAAAACTAAAAATTTTTTGATTTTTTGGACGTATGCAATTAGCTGGTCGTAGAAAAAAAATGATTGGTCACCAACAATCTTTCTTAAGTAGTCAATGAGTATCGTTAGCTGGTAAACATCTGGTAAAACGTAAACCTCAATCCCATTGAACGTCATGGCAGACATTTGACATGTAATGCAGAACATTAGTCAATAATGAAAAGCTTAGATCTTGGTTTACATATTCTAAAAACAAGAATGCAATTTTTTGTACACCCTGCAAGATTTATCAGAAACATGGTGCTGCCGTTACACCATACAACAGGATTCATTAATTGGAAAAAAATTTTAGCAAGATTAACTGAGCCTGAAGCGTCTGGAATCCACAGAGGTGCATGATTAAGTAGAAAATTCGAGTACGACAAATGAAATTGTGTCAAGGCATCGATCACGACACTGAGCGACTCATTCATACAGAGAGAGAAAAATTCTATATAGTCATGGATGCGGTATTATATCGCTCAACAAACTCGTTCTTTCCTTGGGTCTGATGAAATCCCAAGTAGCCTGTTCACAAAGTGTCCTCGACCTAGCGAAGGAAATTTTCTGAATTTAATCTCTCCGCTTGCCAAACATAATTCAACTCTTAAGTACAAGTTAAAGCATCCAACAAAGGGAAAGAAATCATACTTACCCCATATGTGTCTCATACAGAAAAAAAAAAAAAAATTAACCAGGTGAATCAATTCATAAAAACGGGTGGTGATTTTGTGAAATAAAGGAAAATTTAATTGATTTCATAGAAGTTGGTAGAAAGATAGGAGAATGTATTTCTGAATGCATTGTAGAAAATTAGTTTCTTAATTGACACTTGATGGTTTAGATATTGGACAATGTCGATGTCAGTCTTACGACAATGGGTCTAATATGGCTGGCATTTCTAAAACAGTACAATCTAGAATTATAGAAATGAATAAGCTGGAGGAATTTATGCCATGTTTGGCTCACTCCTCGTATTTTGTCAGTATGCATTCTGCTTCTTCGTGCCTGGAAGCAGTTAATCTGTTTGGAATTACTCAGAAAATACTTCGCTTTTTTGTCGGATGCACTACTCGACAGTATATTATGAAAAAATGTACAAAATACAGCTTAAAAAGGAAGCAGCCAGACGAGATGGTCGGAAAAATGTGTGGCTGGGAAAGTCCTTCTAATGAATTTACCGGAAATATTAAATTATTTAAAAGAAATTCAAGATATTTCTCTTGATGCGGAATCAAAGCACGAGGTAGGACATCTGGTACATGCTGTGAAAATTTTGAATTTACCATCTACCTGAAAATTTGAGCTAATATTTTTCCAGAATTCAATGGAGTAAATATAGAAATTCAAAAGGAATTCCTCTTCCGCGTTCTGTGTAGTTAATGACAGAACTGACCAAAACTGAGGAATTATAAAAAATGAGAGAAAAATCGTGTGGTATATTGGATACAAGAGTCTAAAACAGTAGCCGAAAAAATTACAGTTGAGTCTATTCTGACAAAGAAATTCCAAAGCACAAAAAGCAATCTGATGAACTGTTTGAGGACGAATCACGAACACTTCAACCTGTTCAGAACGAAGTTTCAGCAAATTAAAACATATTAAAAAATATCTACGATCATCAGTGAGCCAAGAGCGTTTATCAAGCCTCGCGATTATGGCAACCAAAAATCAAACCGCAGATCAAATTATGACGATTCCATGCACTTATTTGCTGAACAAGAGGTTTACAGAGTAAAATTTTAATTTTCGTTACTAATTAATTCCGTGATATTTTAATAGCGTTAAAGCAGGTAAGAGATTTTCCCCGTATGTAACATAGATACAAGCCAGTTTCCCTTACAAAGGTTTTTCCACGGGATATTCCTCGTTTTTCATGCAGAGCCTAATGGCAAAACACATAGTAAATCATCAGACAAATGTCCTCAGCAGTGGCCAAGTGATTAAGACCGC